AATAGAAATGCAAGTTTGGAAGAATGCTGGTGATATTGAAGACAAATGATAATTTGCCCTCCAATTGTAAGTAGACATTGTAAACTCGTGTCTCGAGCACATTCATGTATATGGTGACCATGCCTCTTAAACTAAATTCTGCATATGGCACTTGCAACAGTATGTAACCCACCACCAATTACCATGGTGACAGACGTCTGGTCCTGGTCATTGACCTTATTTGTGACAACTGACACAACTCGGATGCAAAGAGGTACCTCATTTGCATATGAGAAAATGGTAGAATTGCCTTCTTTCTCAAGGTACGACGACTGTCATTCGACCACTCCTGTTGTCCTGTTGGCTTGACCTGCGATGGTAGGTTGGGGCTACCAAGAAGGTTATATGTATGTGTGTTGGTTTGTATGTGTGTACCAGTAGATGTCATACTTAAATGTATCTTGTACAACTGTTGTGCAATAAACTATCGTTTCAGATATCGACGAATGCGCCAGTAACAACGGTGGGTGTGCACACACGTGCACAAACAACGTCGGAAGCTTCAGCTGCTCTTGCCGGGCCGGCTACGTGTTGAATAATGATGGTTTTGCCTGCGATGGTAAGTTTGGGCTACCTTTGTCAAAAAGGTTATGTGTGTGTTCGCGAGTGTATGTGTGTGTGTACGTGAGGGTGTGTATGTGTGAGTGTGTATGTATGTGCATGTGTGTGAGTGAGTGAGTGAGTGCGTGTGTGTGTGTGTGTGTGTGTGTGTGTTTGTGTGTGTGTGTGTGTGTGTGTGTGTCTGTGTCTGTGTGTGTGTGTGTGTGTGCGTGTGTGTCAATATTTCACTGCTTCGTCAAAGTCAAATGCACCAATAGCTACTTGTACATCTGTTAACTGGGTAAGCCAAAAAAGGCGAAAGTCAAGAGAGGCAGCAAAATGTCTGTTACTTTGTGGGAGTTACACAAGTTCGAAGATGGCATATTAAGGGTAAGAGTATCTTACTTGACATTCGTGGTGAAAGTCATATTAAATGGCTATTGGCACGGCAACTAGTAATCAGTCGTGTATGCACTGAGTGTGTGTGTGTGTGTGTGTGTGTGTGTGTGTGTGTGTGTGTCTGTGTGTGTGTGTGTGTGTGTGTATGTCAATATGTCGCTGCTTCGTCAAAGTCAAATGCACCAATAGCTACTTGTACATCTGTTAACTGGGTAAGACCAAAAAAGGCGAAAGTCAAGAGAGGCAGCAAAATGTCTGTTACTTTGTGGGAGTTACACAAGTTCGAAGATGGCCTATTAAGGGTAAGAGTATCTTACTTGACTAGTGATCAGTCGTGTATGCACTGTTGAGAGAGAGTGTGTGTGTGTTGGTACGGTGTGTGTGTGTACCAGTAGATGCCATACTTCGTCTTGTACAACAGTTATGCAATAAAAGTATCATATCTACCGTTTCAGATGACAACGAATGCAGCAGAAACAACGGTGGGTGTCAAAGGGTGTGCACGAACACCGAGGGAAGCTTCATCTGCTCTTGCAATGGCCAAGAAGAGTTGAATGCCGATGGCTTCTCCTGCGATGGTAAGTTAGGGCTACCTTTGCCAAGAAGGTTATGTGTGTGTTCGTGTGTGTGTGTGTGTGTGTGTGTGTGTGTGTGTGTCTTTGTGTCCATTTGTTTGTGTGTGTGTGTGTGTGTGTGTGTGTGTGTGTGTGTGTGTGTGTGTGTGTGTGTGTGTGTGTGTGTGTGTGTGTGTGTGTGTGTGTGTGTTTGTGTGTACCAGTAGACATTTCTCAGAAGTTACATGTTTAAAGTTAAAACTTTTGGTCCAACACAAAAAATCTCTCACCTAGAGCTTTCGACCAGTTACTCTGGTCTTCCTCAGTAGACTGACCCAGTGAGGCTTGTCATGTGGCTTCTTTGAAGTGTGACGTCAACACTGGGTCAAGGGTATCTGGTAGAGGATGTCGGCCCCCGTCGCGGTTCAATGAAGGGTGATGGGCCCTGATCGAAAGCTCATTCTATACTCATTGCCCTTCTCAGTTTGCCATCAGCCTTCGGGATTGAACCATGTCCGAAGTTTCCTATTTTTCGTAGCGTTGGGAAAATGACAGCGATGAGACCGAATAGTTGACCTGTTTTGACTTAAAAATTTATTCGTCTTTCTCAAGAATGACAGAGATCGGACCACTCCTCCTTTTATACCTTTCATGTACCTCTCTAGTGCAGGGCGCTCTGCTCCACTACAAGATATTGACCAATCATCGTTAAGGATCTGTTTTAGGCTGGATTGCCTTGACCTGGAGGTCTAGTTCACTGTGCACTGAGTACTATGCACTAGGTTAGGTTGCCATGGCCTCAGTTGACCTTAGCTGACCTTATGACCCTCTCTGCTCTTTACAGACTAGGCGGCAGGAGGACCAAGTAAGGCAACAAAGGGCGATCGATGACGTCAGAACATCACCATGACGTCAGAACATCGCTATGACGTCAGAACATCCCTATGACGTCAGAACATCCTCCTTCTGTTGCCGAGTGCCGACACCGACCCCTACACCTACAAGGAATACATGTACCGTCATATCCATCCTGAGATTCGAGAGACGTGCTGTTGGAAAACGCATGCACACGCACACACAAACGCACGCACGTACACACACAAACACACACGCACGCGCACACACACACACACTTAAAACGCACGCGCAGACACACACATACGCAAAAGCACGCACGCACACGCACACACACACACATACACACACACACACAAACACACGCACGCACACACACAAACACACAGACACACACACACACAAACACACACAGACACACACACACAGACACACGCTCATACACACGCAAACGTACGCACGCACGAGCGCGCGCACACACACTCACACACACACAAACACATACCTTATTTAAGGGTTTAGAGGGTGTAAGATACGGGTTTAATATTATGTAGCTCCATACAAAACTTAACCACGTTTCTATTGTTGGTGGTGGTCAGATCGCAAAATGGTCAAACGTAACATTTATCCCCACGCTACCTACAGTCAGGCCACACCGTCCTAATTTTATGGATGACATCCTCTGATCACCCCCAAACTAATGCGCGCGGGCGATTAAAAAAATCGGCCAAAAATAAAAATGCTGCTAAACCACAGGAATACAAAGCTCAAGTATTGTGAATTTGCGGCAGCACATAGCGACGTATACAACAAGCCAGGCTTTTTGCGGAATCTATGAATCGGCACAGTGCGTATGTACTGAGTTCTTGCCGTCGTAGAGCTTCGGCAGCCTGGGTGCCATCCTCCAGAGTTACCACCAGCTCCGTATTGTCGCTAACTACCATGGACTAGCCTAGAGCCAGGCCAGAGCCTAGGAGGATGTGATCTTGGTTTTTTTAGAACATGCGAAAATCAATGCGCGCGCGGATGTCATCCATAAAATTAGGTCTGTTTAGCCTCACAAGAAAACCAATCTTGTCGAATCAACTCAACTCAGAACGTTCGGAAACTTTGTTTCTGTTTCGTAACGACTTCCAAGAATTCAAATCCGATTCCGTTGTCTCACATATCTATGAAAAACCTTCTCCACAGCACTTTGTTACTATTATCATGTATATAAATGATCTTCGATGTGTTATTATATATTTATATTGAATAATCATTTTTTTAATGTTAGGCCATGTTAATTTGATTATATGGATGACATCCTCTGGGAACCCAAAAACTGATGCGAGCGTGCGAATAAAAAGAGAAGTTTGGCAAAAAAAGTTGCTTTCATTATGAAATCTACGTGGTTATGAAGGTTGACTAAATGGCACAGAGTATGGTATGGCGAATAATCTACTCTTCAAATTTATATTTCTTTATATTTTCGTCTTTTTCATTTTATTTTCGCATTCTAGCTACAACATTGGAATCGTTTTCCAATATTGTTTTTTTTTGCAAAGTACGGTATATATTTGCTCATTTTGCAACTATTTAGTACAATTTACAGTATGGTTAAAAACAAAAATTCATGTGCGCGAAGATTCATGTGCGCGAAGATGTCATTATAGTCAAATCAACATGTCCATTCACTACTGTATTCATATATATATATATATATATATATATATATATATATATATATATATATATACAGATAGATAGATAGATTGATATATTTTGGTGATTCTGATCTGATTGGCCATATTTCGGACAACAGTAATGTACAAGGCAAAGAAAGTCGGATTGTTCACGTATTTTTGTTGGAAGTTTGGTCAAACAAAGAAATTATCAAGTATATCAACAAGGACCCCCCCCCCACACACACACGCACAAATAAACAACAACAAGGAAATTATATCGATATCATCATATAACGTCCTTGATTCCATACCACGTTTCATCAGAATTTTGCCCGTTGCAGACGATATCTTTTCAGACAAAACAATCGAAAACTATGCCACCCTGAAATACGTCACACAATTCTACGCAGTACGTTCTGCCGACGCACTATCAGGGAAAAGCTATGCGTATATGGAGCATGCGTACTTCTCCAATTCAATTCTACATCAACATACTAAACATAACAGACAAACATGGCATACTATGTTGCCAGATATTTACATGTATACAAAATGTCAAAATATCATATATTAACAAAAACTATAAAAACAGTACAATAATGCAAAGGTATCCGAAATATGGCCTATGGATCAACAAGGGTATTTTGATGTATCAATTCTTTTTTGTGTGCAACATTTAAAACAATACTACTGCAACAGTACACTGTGTGTATGAGCATTTGGTGATATTAGACTAAAACATTTTGTGTCTTACTTTAAATACTACAACATTGTATTTATATAATAGCACCATATTTGATTTGTTGGTTCTCGGATTTTTAAGAAAAAAATATGAAGCGACAGGGGAAAGAAAGGAAAATAAAAACAGACTAGGCATCCTCTGATAGCCCCAAAAGCTACAAAAGGAGCCATGAAGTCAACATACCAGGCTGACTTATAATTCAAGTAAGGAATTTTAAACTTTTTATCAAACCAATGTATTGATAGATGGAAAAACTGTAACAGCTAGGAAGACAAGGAGCTTTCATCAACTGCTTGGGCCAAAATATGAACATTTTAGTTGATTCAGATTTTTTTTTTTTTGCAAGTCAAATAAAAAAAACGAATCTGGCGAATCCGAGACCCAGTTAATTGAATTGGTGTTGCCTAAGGTTAAATACCGGCTGATAGTTAAAATTGATTATGTATTGATTAACTCATGGACACGGTTACCTCAGTATGGATGAATTATACATTTACTAACACCAAAAAAAATGAAAAATAAAATTGGTGAAGGGAATTTGTTTGTCTGTGTTTATTTTGTCACTTTCACAGATATTTTTTATCTGATATTATTGATTCTAAACATAGACATTCGCACTTCTAATTTAAGTCCCAAAATCATTAGGTATTCAGGCTAATTTCAGAGCTGCCGGACCGAAATTATTATATTACTTTTTCTCGAGTCCAAAAACAAATTGTTATGATCGAAGGAAAACATAATATTGTTTTTGCTCTGTTTTTTGCTCTGTTTTTTCTTCTTCCGTTCCAAACACTGACCTGGTCAAACACGACCATCCAAAATACATGACCCAAACATGTCTAGATCATGAGATATCAAAACCGGAAGTTCCACTGCAGTACCATAACAAGCCGCTAGGAAGCAAAAAATCTAACCAACCAAGTCCTAGCCAAATATCAAGACAATTCATTTAAGCGTTCTAAACACACGAACGCTACGGAAAACCATACCCATCGACTGCGAGAACATAACCTTCTTGCGAAGGTAATCACCCAAAGAGCGTTTAATTACAGCCACCTTGCGACTTTTGTTGATTCTGCATCTTACGTCAAACTTTATACACCGGTGGATTTGGGATTTTTATTAGTTAGCGTTGCAAAAGTTTACACGTTGTTTTGCTCTTATTTTTTATCATTTCACGGAAAAAATCCCTTTGGTCTTTTTTGTGAGTTCGTATTACGTTTTCAGGGTGAAATGAAGTATTTTCCAACATTCGAGCACCCCTCACTATCAAGTGGGACATTCCAAGATGGCGACGCCCATGTATCGAACAAAAAAACCTGTCTTGTTTGCGCAATTTGCGCTGTTGTGTAACTAAATAAGAGCATGAGTTAGCACTTCTGCGCTGCGTCCAGACTTTGGCAGGTTCAGTTTACACAACGGGACATGTAAACAGCTTCAGTAGTAAGGTATGACTTGACTTGACTTCTCTTTTCTACCAACAAACAGCAATTACGTTACACACTTAGCCTCCGTGTATGTGTAGCAGGCTTATAGCTTATAGAACTGAGGGTTTGGTGGTCTTCGGCTGTTTTCTGATTAGCCCAGTTCTAAAAACTGGGGTAATTCAACCAGGCCGGCTATGTTGTCTATATGCAATCAGAAAATAGCACATAAAAGCTCCCAAAGACCCTGAAGACCCCAAGTTTTTGGCATATGCTAATAATGGAGGCTAATACCATGGAGGTATTTTTATACCTCCATGCTAATACACACTGCACGGAAGGCAAATTATATATATGTGCAACAATTTGCTGCAATATCATAACTTTAAGTGTTGTTTTTCAGTGAAAGTCGCCAGGTTAATAGTTAACCATGAAAAGTGCCCTGGTTAAGGTCGAGAGTTTGCGTGTAGACAAATTATTAAGCCACGGGTTATTAGGTGGGCACATAGCGTTATACATATACGTGGTACGTAGTAAGAACGCAGCAGAAAGAACACAAACATATGGGAATAAAAACTATACCGGTTATCGTAACTTTATTGACATCTAACAAGCCAACTTTTGTAAGGTCTTAGTAAACTATATATATGTAACATACTGAATAATGACTCCTGCACCAGGCTTTATAGCCTGGATGCCAGACCCAAAGCACACTGGACACAAAATATCTCAGTGTGCACACTGAGATATTTTGTGTCCAGTGTGTTTTGGGTCTGGCATCCAGGCTACAGGCTTTAGGAAAGTATGGAATGTATGGATCACAAAAAAAATTGATGACAACTTGCAAAAAACATACAGTCCAAATGTTACATGCAAGTTACGACTACATGTATGCTACAATATTCTGTCAAAACAAGAACTGCAAGGATAATAAATGAAAACACAATCATGACTTAATGCAAAAAAAATGACAAGAACTTGCATAAAAATCGTTCGGTATAGTGTAGCCAGCTATACCGCCGCACCGTGTGCCTGCGAAGCTGGTGTGTTACGCCAAAGGGTGGTTATACCGGCTATACAGGTACAGAAGCTGGTGTGTTACGCCGAAGGGCGATTATACCGGCTATACAGATACAGAAGCTGGTGTGTTACGCCGAAGGGTGGTTATACCAGCTATACAGATACAGAAGCTGGTGTGTTACACCTAAGGGCAGTTATACCAGCTATCTACACAGAATCTTTCTCCATCATAACAATATGTCTCCTTTTCCATACAGGCCTACTCGTACTGAAACTTCCCAAGAACAGCCCGAAAACTTTCCACGATGCTGCCAGCATATTGCAGTCCAAACAGCTCGCTTACACCAGTATGGGTGGACCAGGGTCTGTCTGTATGTTTCACAGAAACCCTCGTCCCTGCAGTTCTACAAGGATTCATCCTCGTATGCGGCGGGATACAGGGCCTCTTCCTCATGAAGTACTCAACCGTCATCGAACCCAAATACGTACCCAAAAGTGCCCTCTACCACTTTCAGTTGGCGATGCACGTGCTGCTGGTGGTCAGTCTCAGCTTCAGTTTTATTGAATGCAGCACCTTGGCAGAACGTACTGCACCTGCACGAAACCCATAATGTATTGTACATAGCACTTTGGCAGAATGTCTCTTATAAGGTCGTATTCGCTAATATAAGGTTAGCATTTCGACAGTAGTTTCCAAATGTTATGTCGGAAAGAATATCCTCTGCAACAGGCAAAATTCTGATGCAATGTTGACCAAAAACCCAACGAAAAACTCGAAAATATGGGGTTTTGCGCAGGCGCAGTACTTTCTGCCGACGTGCTATTGAATGCATTGGCATTGACATGTTCGTTAAAATTTATTGACACAACAAAAGTACAGCGACTTTCGTAAGGTCTAAAACTACACGTCGACAAATACATGGATACAACAAAATTAACCTATGTCCAAAACAATAGATGAGTCAACTAATACTACTTGTTCTTGTCGCGTAGACTTACACGTTAAAATAGGCCACTATTTTGGCTGTGAATCCAATAAAAAAATCGTACATCAACAGATTTTTTGCTGTCTATACCAAGCACACGTATCATGTAAACGATAAAAAATTTTTTCCCCAATTCTAACCGCTAGTTCGATATTTACGTCATGTATAACTGCAATTACCCATGACCCGCAAGAGGCCCTCTTTTGGCTCACTGTGCCCGACCGCAGTACTCAGGTCAAAATAAGCGTATACGTCCGACAATCGCTCGGACGCCGAAACTTCCCTGCCTGATCCTGTCAGTAATAAACAGGCTTTCACCTCAAATCCTTTTTAGATCAGGTCTGAGTGATGAAAGGGATTTTATGGTGCACCTAAACTCACGCTGTTCGGGCACAATCATTTTTTTGTCGGGACTCTTTTAGAGACTACACATGCGGAGTAATTGCGGTATGAGACCTTATAGGTGGGGCAACCTAAAATTCTGATGGGCAACCTAATTTTTGCCGTAGATTGCCCACTGGGCTTGCACCACTAGTACTGTATCTGGCAGAAGCCCACTGGGTAACCTGGTTCAAAAAATGTATTTTGTACACTGATATAGGTCCAAGCAATTGTCCAGTTGGTCTTGCACGCAACACTCGGGGCCAAAGCACTCTACGGCTCCACAATCCTCTACACGTGTTTCTACGCGCTCTCGTGGTGGATGGTGATGATTCTCATGGCAGCTGAGAGGAAGAGAGAGATTTTAACGCGATCTTCGCGAGGACACGGCACAGTTCTTCTGCTGTTCTGGGCGCTGGCTTTTCTTCTGGAGAATCTGGCACTTGTGTCGTGGAACAGCAGACACTGGTGGTGGAAGATACAGACTGTGGACCAGAAGGTATGGTGTACTTAAGGATTAGTATGTTTGAATTTTGAATTTTAAGTTCAAGCCCTTATAATTACATACTCCTGGAGAATCTAGCACTTGTGTATAGTGAACATGCCCTGTGGTCACAGAAAGTAGGGCCATCTGGGGCTGACAGGTTTTCCCAAGGGTTTGCAGGAATGTGGGCATAGATATGGGAGACATTCCTGTGGATATTCAATTCCATGCCTGTGGACAAAATTCCTGTACAATTCCTAGAATCCTTGCAAACTGCACACAATACTGTACCATTAGGCTCCTCCCTGAGACGTCGCCAAAAATGACACAAATTTTCATCTGTGTGTTGGTAGTTATCATAGTACGATGCTGCAACGGTTGTTGTATTCCAGTATTTTCTCTGTTTCAGGTTGAGTTTGGTTCCTGGGTGGCACGTTACAGCTGTACCCTACTGCTGTTCCTGCTGGGCCTGTGTGCTCCCGGCCGACCAGCCAAACCCTACATGAACATCATCAACGAGGACAGGGATGTGGAACAGGCTGAGGTAAAATATGATAGATTTTTCCTTACACATATTTATTAAGTTACCATCATGAAGGTTCATCTGTGTTGGTAGTTACATGTTTAGAGTTAAACCTTCAGATGCAACACAAAAAAGTTCTCTCACCTAGAGCTTTCTACGGAGGAAGACCAGAGTGACTTGTGGAAAGCTCTAGGTGAGAGAACTTTTTGTGTTGGATCTAAAGTTTTAACCGTTATACATAACACAGAAATATTACTTTCTTTCAGCCATTGTTAGACGAGTTAACAACAGAATCAGAAGGCTCGACCTTCCGCTGGTTCCTACGGAAGTGCAAGCTGCTACATGGATCATGTCTAACTATTAATGGCCAGAAATATTCCTTTGTTCCAGCCATTGTTGGATGAGTTTGCGACTGAATCGGAAGGTTCGACCTTCCGCGGGTTCTTACGGAAGTGCAAGCTGCTTTGGCCATTCATGTGGCCGAAGGGAAGCCTGGCGTTACAGCTACGAGTCGTGTTCTGTTTCCTGCTGCTAGCCGCGGGACGAGGCATCAACGTGCTGGTCCCTATCTACTACAAAATCATCGGTGAGTTGTTCAATGTTTATTGTGCAATCAACTTCGTAGTCACAATGACTAAATTGCGCTGATTTTACAGTACATGTACATTTATAAAAGAACAATTCATTTAAAAGATCATTAGCATTAAAAATGATAATTAAAAAACATTAGGGGTGCACCCAGTCTAGGGTGCTTGTCCCTATCTACTACAAAATCATCGGTGAGTCATCGGTAAAACAGTCTACAAAATCATTGGACAGGTGTGTTTATCACTGTTGCTACAGATTTGCTGCAATTTTAAAGTCCCCAAAATGTTTTCTTAGCAGACTAATGTATAATGTATCACAATGTAGTTGGGAAAACACTTTTAATACATGTGTTTAAATATTTGAAAAGTTAAGCTTCTAACATTGTGCTTTCATCTTAAGATATTTTTTAATAATGAATTTCCAAACTAATGTTTTTAACAATATTTTGCTAAATCCTGCCAATCCATTAATATTGTGATATACAATGTACATTTGATCCAAGTCATTGACATGTTTGGAATTGAAGAAGACAAAACCTGAACTATAAGTTAATGCTTTTTCTTCTGCGAAGGTAACCATGAAGATTGAATTTTTGAATTGAAAATTCGAAGATTCCCTCAGGCTGTTAATCCTTGTTGTGAAACATTTTGTGCCCCCCCCCCCAGTGAATCGTCTGACCAAGTCTGAGTTCCCCTGGGATGACATCCTGCTCTACACATTCTGGAAGTTCCTACAGGGAGGAGGAGCAGGTAATATTAACCTTTAGCCTGCTAAGGTAGCTGTTTAGCACCAATTTCTTATTGGTTAGCAGTTTAGGCAGCAGAGACAAGGTTAAGGTTTATTATCAATGACCACACTGAAAAGTGTCTTGCATGCCTTCATTAATAAAGAATGATTCAAGCAAACATTCAAATTTTATCACCCAATTTGGTCTACAATATGAACAAAACATTTTGCATTACCTTGCAAATTTTTACTAATTTTGAGTACCCCTAATGTCTATGCTTAGTTTTCAGAGTGGGTGGGCAGAGCTTCTGTTTCACTGAATTGACAGGGTTTGACCCAGTATACCCTGGGTTCAAGGATGTGGTTGGCAGATATATAAAACATAAGCTAAGGTGTCATAGTGGAGCAAGTTGCGTCTTGTACTAATGCATTTTATGATGTAATTTTAATATTAGTTCAAACTACATTTTGTATAATCTACTTCTGAAGTTTGAAATCTGTGATTTTTTGTTTCAGGTACGGCAGGACTTTTGAACGGTCTTCGTTCTTTCCTGTGGATCCTGGTACAACAGTACACCAACAGAACTATGTCTGTTCGGCTCTTCAAACATCTACACCAGTAAGCTTAGTGTTTTTTATGTAAAATTGATAAATGAACTAGAAAGGTAACATTTGCAAAACAAAAAGAAAGCAACAATGAGGTATGGAAAAACTTCGGGAAATTTGGTCCATTGCCAGCTCAAAATGCACGCAGAGAAATGTGACCTGACGAGTTTTGACCAAAAATTTGCAAAAACTAGAAGGTAACATTTGCCAAGCGAAGGCATTATGTTTACCTTCACATAGCCCAGCTTAACAAGCTTTGTTTATTCTTCCTCAAACACATTCATATATGTAGTGACCATGCAGCCCCTCTCACTTGCAACATGATGTAACCAAACACCAGTTACTATGGTGAGAGACATCTGGTTCAGGTCATTGACCTTATTTGTTTGGAGAAGAAGAAACTGAGGAAAAACAATAATGTTTTCCTTTGGTAAACATAATAAATCAAATCTTGTAGATAGTACATTTGAAATTCACAACAAATAGCACAATTAGAAATTCACAAAAAATTCAAATTTTTCACCTACTGAAGGTACATGTACATGTACATGTACAATCTTTCATATCAATCATAATAAACAAATAAACAAATCTTTTATATTACAATGTTTCGTTATGTTGTACACAGTTGTACATTTATGTTTTCTTAGGTTGTCCCTGAGGTGGCATCTAACCAGGAAAACGGGGGAGGTTCTGCGAGTTATGGACAGGGGGACACAGAGCGTCAACAACCTGCTCAAGTAAGGGAACAACCATTAACACCAGGGGGGAGGGTTGTCTGTGATATGAAGGAACAATTATCCAAAAATACCAATCATGAAAGTTCATCTGTGTTAGTAGTTACATGTTTAAAGTTAAAACTTTTGGTCCAACACAAAGAAGTTCTCTCACCTAGAGCTTTCGACCAGTTACTCTCACTGGTCTTCCTCAGTAGACTGACCCAGTGAGGCTTGTCACGTCGTTTCTATGCGTTGACCCAGTGTTGACGTCTCCCTTTAAAGAAGCCACGTGACAATCCTCACTGGGTCATAAGGAAAACCAGAGTTACCAGTGAGAGTAATAGTATAATAACATAATAATGACGTACATCTAATCTCCAAGCAAATCATACGGTGGCAAGGCAGTATCCATTAGCCAGGGAGTGTCTATATGCCTTCAAAATAATGGGCACTCCTCTGGCCAATGGATACTTCAGGGAATCTGAAATTATAATATACTAAGTTTTTTTTCTGTTTTTTTCAGTTACATCCTGTTCAGCATAGTGCCTACCATAGTGGATATCATCATTGCCATTGTCTACTTTACTGGAGCTTTCAACATCTACTTTGGACTGATTGTCTTCTGTTGTATGGCGCTGTATTTGGGTAAGTACAGGAGAAATATTCCTTGTGACAAATAAGTACCTGAAACCTGCCCACAAAAGGACCGGAGGTAGCTATGATTATGAATTCCAGTTATATACAGCATATACATGTAAAGACTGCTTTGGGTTTTCTTTTTTTCCCTGCACAGTAAGCGAGTGGAACCAGCTGCCGGGCCCAGTGGTGAGGGCACCGACAGTAGAGGCTGTTAAGGCCAGGGTAGAAGCCGCCCTGCCATAACCAGCGTACATTTTATCTTACAGGATTGACAATCTTTGTGACAGAATGGAGGACCAAGTTTCGAAGAAAGATGAATATCAAGGAAAATGCCATGAAGCAAAAAGCAGTGGACTCACTTCTCAACTTTGAAACGGTGTGACTTTGTTTTTTTTGTTGTTGTTATTGTTATTACTGGTATCACCAACCATTTAAGTTAAATAAACGATCACTCATTGGTCATTACGTCATACTGGACATACTGTATTCTAGATAGGATTTTGTTTATAACTATAAACTCTATAATAGCTCTCCATTTCCTCTATATTCCAGGTGAAGTACTATGGTGCAGAGGAGTATGAAGTGGACAAGTTTCATGACTTTGTGAAAGACTATCAGGTAGGTAGTGCTTATTATGTTTACAGAAGGAAAACATATTGTTTTGTTCGCATTGAGTTCAAGAATGTCTGCTTCTACAGTATCGACATGGTCTGTTCCTATGTGCAGGTTGAAGAGTGGAAAACCAATGCGTCCCTGAGTGTGCTGAACAATGCCCAGAACATCGTGATCACAGTGGGTCTGATAGCAGGGTCCCTGCTGTGTGCCAGCTACGTGGCCGACAAAAAATTACAAGTACGTTTCAACTGTTGTTTACTTTTACTAATAATTGGATCTCTGTAACTGCTGAGTACATACATATGTGTATGTACTGTCCCTACTGTGTGCCAACAAGCTTAAGACACTGCAAGTATCGGTTCTCAGTAACTGCTAAAAAAACTGCTGAGGATGGTTTGCTTGCATGCATTTTTTGGTACATATGTACTGTCCCTACTGTGTGCCAGGTATGTGTCCTACAAGACACTGCAAGTACGTCTCATCTGATGTTTACTAAAATTTGTTCTCAGTAACTGCTAAGGATGGGTTGTTGGTATTCTTTGATACATATGTACATGTACTGTCTCTTCTGTGTGACAGCTACATGTAGCCAACAAGACAAGTGTTGCAAGTATGTTTCAAACATAGTTCATCTGTGTTGGTACAAGTCATCAAAATAAATTTTTGAAAATTTAGGGTAAGTCCGAATCTTTGTGGTTAGTGTTTGGAAGTTAAAGCTTAGTTAATAGTCTTTATGTCATTATGTTTCAAACAGTTTATTATTATTTTCCACATACAAAATGTACAACATGTACATGGAAGGCATGATGAAACAGGTGGACATTTTATAATACTTTCCAGATTCTAGAATCTCTGGTTTCTTCTTGTGTTTTTGTAACAGATTTTTTTCTATAATTTCTTTCCCAGGTTGGTGACTACGTCCTGTTCTCTACGTACATCATCCAGCTTTACGCACCTCTCAACTTCTTCGGAACTTACTACAGGTAAGCCAATGGATTTTTTTCAAGGCTCAAGAGTTATTTATTGATCTTTTGCAGTGAACAACAAAGTCAGTGTACAGATCTCTAAAATGAACACAGGCATACAATATTGCACATTATATAATTTGGCAATCATCACTTGTAATGTCTGAATTAAGTTAAATGGAATTAACACAAAAAGACAAGCTGGCAAGATCAGTGTGACTATTGCTTTCAACCTCTATTAAGTTTTACTCTCTGACTTGAATTTAACAATTTTACTCTCTATATTTTCCTTTTATTACTGACAATTACCCCCTGTACGTTATACCCCGTGAGGGGCATTGTCCAGTACTGTGTAGATGTCAGTTGGTTTTGCTTATTAGTTTTGTGGATGTTCATGCGTGTTAACTTTTTTTTTGTTTTTGGGCCATGTATGTTCTTTATATTGTCCTTAACGAATGAATTCTTTTTAAAAATTCCATTTTGAATTCATGTTAAACTTTATGTTTTTTTTTGTGTTTTCCATCCTAGGATGATCCAGGCTGCATTTATCGACATGGAGAACATGTTTGACCTTCTGAAGGAGAAACAGGAGGTCAAGGACATCCTGGGGGCACGGCCGCTGGTCGTCGGCGAAGGTCGCATTGAGTTTAAGAACGTCTGCTTCTACTACCAGCCTGAGTGAGTAGTGTATTTTATATTGGTTATTGTCAGTGGCATCTAGTGGTAGAGCAACCGACTGTCAAGCAAGGGGACCCAGGTTCAATCCCCAGGGTTGGACCCAGACATGTCCAGACATGCAACCAGGCGTTGTGCCCTTGGGAAAGGCACTTAACACGTATTTCCCCCTCAGTTAGAGGGTTCCTGGGCCCTACTAGGGTTTGGGTTGGCGTTAGGAAGGGCATCCAGCCGTAAAAAAAATACAAGCACCTCTAACCCCCAGTTTCGAGGAAAAAAAATGTTAAACTGGATAGAGAGGGAGAGAGAGAGGGTGGGTCGGCTACTCTCTCCTGGCAGCCAAGGGCTGAATTGTGAGGAGCTTGCAAACATTGGGGCTTAATCACAAGGGTCTGGAGCGGCTGCCATTTGACGCTAACTCAGGTGATCTCAGTGAGACCTACTGAGGAAGACCAGATTGAGTGACAAGTCCAAAGGTCTAGATGAGAACCATTCTTTGTGTTGGATCGATTGAGAAGTTTTAACCTTAAACATGTAACTACCAACACAGATGAACTTTCATGATAATTTCAAGATGACCTTTGATCATTCTAAGACTTAGTATCTACATTTCTTAAGATCTACATTTTCTTAAGTTTTGCAGACATTTTACATTTGATGTAAACCTCATAAAAGGCAATTGTTCTCAATTCAGCATATTTCTCTGTCCTGTCTAGCCCCCTGAGTCCAGGAGAAATATTCTGAAGGATATACATAACTAAAATAGGTACCCTAGCAGCTGTCTTTAGAACTGCAGGGGTGTTTCAGTACATTTTAACCCTTGTTTTGCTGCTCTGCAGGACAAATAAGATAGCATCTAAGTATAGTTCTCAATTCGGCATGTTTCTCTGTCCCCTCCAGGAGGAATATCCTGAAGGACATCACGTTCACGGTGAACCCGGGCCAGACGGTGGCGTTGGTCGGTCCCACGGGCAGCGGCAAGTCCACCATCATCCGGCTGCTCTTCAGGTTCTACGACGTCATGGGAGGAGCCATCCGCATCGATGGGCAGGACATCTCCAAGGTACATAAACAGGCCTCAAAATTAACTTTTCTTCCTATTGTCCCAGCACTGTCCCAAAAACAAATTTCAATTATCCTGCAGTGAGGATGAACTGCTTTGGTAGCTTTGGTTAGGGACTCCCAGTGTTGGTGGGAGTGACTGTGGGAGCGGACGTAAACTAATCAGGATAGTATCCAGGCTACAGAGTTGTAACTTTGGAGAAAACTTTACTTGAAAGGTTGTTGTTTTTCCCTTTGCCCTGCAGGTTACCCAGACCTCCCTTCGCAAAAGCATCGGCGTGGTTCCTCAGGACACAGTACTTTTCAATGACACAATCAGGACAAATATCAGATATGGGAAGGTATGTATGCTATCATGAAAGTTTGTCTCTGTTGGTAGTTACATGTTTGAAGTTAAAACTTTTGATCCAACACAAAGAAATTCTCTCACCTAGAGCCTTCGACCAGTCACTCTGGTCTTTCTGTTTGGAGAAGAAGAAGAAGAAACTGAACAAAAACAACGTTTTCCTTTGGTAAACATAACAAAGACCTTTATCATACATACATTATTACCCACTGGGATAAGTACAAAGGAATAGTTTATATAAACATGTATTATATTACTTCATAAAATAATAAATCTTATTTAATATTTGATTTTCCAGGTGAGCTCTAAAGACGAAGATGTGGAGGAGGCTGCGGATGCTGCTGAGATTCATGACAAAATCCTGATGTTCCCTGATCGTACGTACAAATCATTCACTGCTAAATGTTCATTGACAAGTGTATTTTATATAGTAAAATGTTGAACTTAATTACAACACAAGGATTACACAGAGATAAAATTTTCATCAACCACTGTTGGCTTCATCAGGATCATGAATGACCAGTCACTTCCAAACATAAACTCACAAGAGTTGCAGCACCAAAAAGGTCAATGCCCTTTAACCAGACTGTGTGTTGCCATGGTAATTAGTGTTGGGTTACATCATGTTGCAATTTTATAGCAGGAGGGATTTTGATTCCTGTCTGACCATATATATATATACAGTATGTGTTTGAGTAAGAATTAACACACACAGATATTATTAACAGAGCAGACCATAGGCCAACTTAAAGGTAAATATTATGCATTTGCTTTGCAAAGGTTACCTTTCTAGTTCCCTGTTGTGTTGTACAGAGTATGAGACGATGGTAGGTGAGCGGGGGTTGAAGCTGAGTGGGGGGGAGAAACAGAGAGTGGCCATCGCCCGAACCATCCTCAAGGCTCCATCTATTGTACTACTGGATGAGGTAGGTCGTCAAGTGTTTATAAAATCATTGTTTTAGCTTGGCTTGCAGCAATTACTCTACCAATTACACTACCTGCATCACATCTGCTCAAGATGCGTTCCATGTGTAGCTTTAAGGTCTCGTTGACTGGAAGTTTGTGCCATAGGTTTACTTTACTGTGTCACTACATATGCGTAATGCATCATGTCTCTCAATGTTGGCTTAGTTATTTACTGAATGTACATTGGGGTGGAAGCTGGGAAATGTGTCTTCACCTGTTCCCCCTCTCCTTCCACTTGCCAATTTGTTGCCACTAGAACAGTACAGTGGACATTGACATTATCAGAGAGTACCTGACTAAGGCTGCCAGCTGCTGAAATTACCGTTTTAATGAACAAATTTATGAAACGAATTCACCTCTCTCTCCTTCCCTCCCTCCAGGCCACGTCTGCGCTGGATACCCAGACTGAGAGGAACATCCAGGCTTCCCTCAACAGGGTCTGTAACAACAGGACCACCATCGTAGTGGCTCACAGGTCAGGCTTCAACCCTCAGATTCTTTTCTTCCCTCCTTTCTTCCTTCCTTCCTTCCTTCCTTCCTTCCTTCCTTCCTTCCTTCCTTCCTTCCTTCCCTCCTTCCCTCCCTCCTCTAATCGTAACAGAGAAGACAGATGCTATGTACAATATTTACATGTTCATTGTACTGGGGAAATTCCCCTAGCTCTTTTTGGCAAGCACAATGAACAGTGGACCAATGTCCTAAGGACTGTGACCCTTTCCAGTAGCATGCATGTCGGGATTAGAACTCCCAACCTCTTGGTCCAGAGGCAGGGTCGCTAACCACTGGACTATGCATGCTACTATTACTTATAGTGTAAGACAGAGATTTTGCACCTTTCCAGACTGTCGACAATCATCAACGCGGACCAGATCCTGGTGTTAAACGAGGGAGAAATCGTGGAGAGAGGAACGTAAGTAAAATGTCTGGAGTTTGTTTTGATGATGTCCAGTGTCTATAAACATAGTCGTTGATTGTTTCAGTCTGTCCATGAGTGTGAACTATCAAAACCATTCTCTGTCATTGTTTTCTGGACGTTTCAAGGAATAATTCAACAAGTCAAGAGAACAAGATTTCACTTGGGTTGAGTCAGAAACTTTTTGGGATCTGTTATAGATTTGCACCCTTGACCAGAGATCTGTGAACTTGAAGGTCACCAAAACCCAAAATACTTTCGGAAGTTTAAACTCTCCCGATGTCTTGTTCATATTAGATTAGATGAGTTGAGTATCTCTTTCAAGACTTCTTTACATCAGGGCCCATCACTGAACCGCGACGGGGGCCATCATCGGTTTTAACCAGATACCTTTGACCCAGTGTTGACGTCACACTTTAAAGAAGCCACGTAACAAGCTTCACTGGGTCAGTCTACTGTTAGAAAGACCAGAGTGACTGGTCAAAAGCTCTACATGTAGTTGAGAACAATTCTTTGTTTTTGTTTTCTTTTTTGTTGTTTTCTTACTTAGTGGTCACCACGTAACACAGCCGTTAGGCCACTTCAAGGTGAACGGTGCTACCACCTGAATGGCATCACCACTCACCTGGGTTACGGGTTACCGAGTATAACTGTAACAGCAACTCTTCTCCCTGAGTCAGAAACACCATGATTGAGACCAGCCCAATTTCTCACAAGTAGCGAGGACGAACTGACCCAATAGGAGAAGCAGGGGTTACGAGGCTGGTCGGGAAAATTCCCTACCCCATGTTGGAACAAAAGTTTTAACACAAAACATTTCTGTTGCAGACATGATGAGTTGGTTAATCTTGGCGGGATGTATGCCAACCTGTGGCAACAGCAGCTGCTAAACCCTGAGGACAGCAATGGATCGGAGAAAGCAGACACAGAGGAAAACAAGAACAAGGACGATTAACCATTTTCCTGCTAGGCCTTTCGTTTCATATACATTTGTATGCTGCATTCAGTGGCATTGGCAGTGGAGTATGTTGCCAAGACTTGTGGTGTATTGTGCATAGCACTTCAGCAGAACGTTTAGTTTTTGATAGTAATTGTATTCACATATTTAAAGAAAGCAGACAGCAAGGGAAACAAGAACAAGGACGATTAACCCCTTTTCTTCCTTCTGTGTCATATAAAAACTTCATTTAATGAAGGACGTACTATACATGTACATGTATGCCTGTGGGCATTGCAAACCTGTGATGCATTGTGCATAGCTGGTTTGTTACACCAAAGGGCGGTTATGCCTGCTATACCAACACAGATACAGATAGCACTTTGGCAGAATGTCTCGTTTAAGGTCATATTTGAATATTTAAGGCTGACATCCTATGTGTCGGAATACACCTACACCATATGCAAGCCCAGAAATGTCAAGTATACCAAGTTGGCATTGGTTTCATTGAACAAATGGAGAACTAAGATGTTTTGTTGCTAAACTGGCTTAGGAGCTGATAACTAATGCAAAGACTTTGTAGATGAAAATAGTATCCATAACAAAGTCTCTAAACAACTGTTGGTAATCACTGCCATTCAGAGCACATTACATGCATATAGAATGCGATTTAAAGGGAGATATTGTTTAGTACACATTTTCAGCTTGGCAAAAAAGACCATGACCATTAAGGACACAAAGAAGACATAAAAACATACTAGTTACTAAAAATGGATATCATATATATTATTCTTTGGTATGTAGTTTGTGGTAAGTTTTAGCTTGGTATCTATTGGTTTTAATGTTTAAGTTGCTGCTGTGATTGTGACACTACATGTAGTACTGATATACCATATTATATAGGGTCAACCAGAGGGTACCAAAGGGGGTTGTGTGAACAATGGAAATAAACCTTAAGGGGGCTAGTTCGTGCTTATAAACCTGCCTTTCTCCTGCAAGTCTCCAGTGTCACTGACGAAAGGTAGTGGATGCTGCCTGAAATGTCTGACTGTTTTCAAAAGCATATCCAGTTGCTTGAGTAAGCTTTTTTACGTTAAAGGGGGGGGGGGTGGCTGATCTCAAATTCTTTTAAAAAATGCCTACAAGTTTCAGAAAAATCCCTCTATGAAAGTAAAGCGATTGTATTTCTGAAGATACCAAGGGTTTGAAAAGAAATGTAAGCAATAATTTTATAACAAAAATGCATGACATTTTCAACCTTCCCCCTGCTTTAATATACGTATAGGTGTGTATACTCCCTGGTGCATCCTATATTTTATCAGCCATATATGTTGTATATATCTGTATGTTATATCATGACTGGATATTTCATTGTTATAAAAGGTGGCTTGATGTTCATACATGTATGTATATTAATCGTATTATTTTCCATAGTCTCATTCCACACTATGCAGAGTATAGGGGCGGTGCCCATCTGCTTTTCTGTAGCCCTTGGGCCACACATACAGTACCGGTATGTATTGATGCCTTTTACTGTCAAAGTAAATACGTGTAACTACAGACAAAGATTAATACGCAAGACATGTTGGAAATTTTAATGGAGTTAAAAGACTCTCTTTTCTAGCTACGTGGTTACACTTGGCTTTCATACTCAAGAATGAATTGAAATTTTTAAATAATATTTATTTAGAAGTTTGTTTTTCCATACCTCAATAAATCATCAAGAATCGGGATTGAGAGAATATGTAATAGAAAGTAAGAGTGAATAAAAGAACGAATGAATGAACGAGAAGAAAGAAAGAATTCGACTTCCCCGAAGTCCAGTCCACCACACGCGCACGTGCACATCCGCACTTGACTTGCGAGATCCGCCCGCCCCACTGTTTACACAGGCTGGATCGATATCCCTCCGCGCTTGCAGAACAGATTACTGGAAACTGAGAGGATATTCTACTTACCGTAATCTTACTCAAAACGCACTCCACACACAGTAGGCGTAATTAGCTTAGCTAAGTGTGCAAACATCCTGAATTATAGAGGCTCAGACGCAAGTATTACGCCTCTAGAATACTAGGAATGAATAGAACCATTTTGGACGGAAAATCTTTACGTTTAAACCTGGTGAAAAGCGTATAGAATTTAAACATTTTGCGCTTGGGACACTAGTTCACGTCTTTGGACAATAAAGAAAGCTAAAAGTAGTAAGAATGACTTAAAAATCATTACATATGTATACATATGTTTAAAAAAACATCATTATTGAACAATGTACACTGTATATAGCAGTCTTATTACATACAGTTACGATTAAATGAAGCTTTTCGTAGGGAACAAAATCAACGAGGAACGCTAAGTATCTTAAAATATCGACAAAATATACAAACGTGAGAAAAAGAAATCAATTGAGTGATCTTTTAATGGAAAGGAGAAATTAAGCATTTTCAGCCCTCAAACTGCGTCCAATGTGGGATCAAAGAAACAGAACTAGAAGTACAGTTACTGTAAAGCAAAGTTTGGGAATACAGCGGGAATATATAATTTCTTAATCTCCGATATTAATTGTATACAATATACTAAATTAGTGATACTGACTATTATGTCAACAACAGTCTTTTGAGAATCAAACAAGTCAGTCCGGTTTTCTGTGATTGTACAGTCAATAACGATTTAAAGGAACACAAAACCGACTGGAAAAGCTTCTTTGGCTTAAGCCCCCACATCATGTAGTCATCAAAAATTCTGACTCATGTTGCCATGGCAACGACCAGGTGTTGTTCCCACCTCCCGGATGCAGAGAAAGTCCTCTCTCCACCTTCCCCTCAGGCCACACCAATTAATTTGTTGTTTCTCGGGGTTTTTTTTTTTTCAGAAAAAATATGAAGCGACAGGGCGAAATAAAAAAAAACAGGCCAAGCCAAGACACCCCATGATAGCCGGAAATATTACAATATGAGCCATGAAGTGAACATACCAGGCTGGTTTATAATTAAAACAATAGATTTTGAACTTTTAATGAAACAAAGTTGCATTTGTTACATTGAACAACTTTAACAACTAGGAAGAAAAGGGTTTTCTTCAACCGCTGGGGCAAAAGTATGTCTCTCATTGAGCATTTTGCAGTTGATTTTGAAGAAATTTTTTTTTTTTTTTTTTTTTTTGCAAATCAGACAAAAATGGACAGGGCGAATCCGAGAAATAACAAATTAAATTGGTGTGGCCTAACCATCACGCGCGGCGGTTTGGGTCTTTGTTCTCCTACAACAAGCGGCTTCCTGAGCCGCGCGTTCACTGCTGTGTCCTCCATCGATCTCCACACTTCAAGTACGGCGATATACGTGAATCGGCACGGCCCAACCTTAAGTAGACCCTCTCTCCATTCATAAATGTTAATAAGATTAATTAAAGAGTAAACATCCTCGAGAATTTACGTCTAAGGTAGGATCGCATCCTGGAGAAAGTTTGGAGTTTCTCTCCCACGATGGTTTAAAATCGATATGGTAAGGTATAAAAGTACGCGTGCAACTCCGCGCGCTGCCAAATCCCCGACTTTTGGGTGTGGGGATTGTTAAAGGTTTTTTGGAGAAAAATTATTTTATCCGATTCGTTTTTTTTTTTGGTGATTCTTCGGTGGGAGTCGAGTTAAGAGCCGAAGAAAGCGACCATGGGGCCGTTTGCGTCCTTGTTCCTTCTGTCCCTGCTCTTTTCAGCACAGGTTACTGCGCAAAACAGGTTGGTGGAATTCCCGATAGCATTTTTGACTGATATATGTCGGGATATGCAGAGACTACGATCAGGATGCTGTTAATGTGTAGGGGTACCGGTGGTTCCCAATTGTACAAATACCAAATTTCAAGTCAATTTGTTCATCTAAAATGACATGTCTTTTAAGCATATATATATATATTAGAATTTGCAGACTCCAATATTGGTATATCTGCCGGTAGAATTGCCAATCCCACCAGATAAGAATCTCTCCCCTGACATAAGCTTTACTTTCTATCACTGCGACAACTATGAAGATTATTTCAATCCTGCTTGATAGAGAAATTGATTTATTAAAGTTCTAACGAAAGTTAGCAAGCTTTCTTTCAAATACTACTGAGATAGTTCGGTGATCTTGTCGCAACAAAATACAGCAAACGATTTCCTACAGCCACGATGTTACTTTTCATGCATTATGTCGTACGAAATTCGGAAGAAAGCAAGTGTCTTGCATTGCGACCGTATCTTTGCGACCGTATCTTCACCGTATCTTAGAATTCCGGTAAAAATGAGCCAGAAAATTTCCTAAGGACAATCAAACATGTACAGATACACATGTGTACTACTATGAAATTGCTGGAGGATGGGAATATTTAGAAATTTGGTTTGAAATTCTAGCAACTTCTGCGAGAAAGAAGTCCTTGTGGAGAAGGAAGTTGAACAAGAGGTGGAAGTGACCGTGTGGAAGGAGCTACGGTACCAGGACTGCGCCGCCCAGCGGCCGAACGACGTACTGCTGGGCAAGGAGACCTCCAGCGTGGACGGCAAGGTGTACTGTCACTTCAACAGGTGGGTGCTGCCTGCGATTTGTGCGAATTCCGCTAGACGGCGTAACTGACAGGTTCAGGCGTTTGATGTTCCCGCACACGATTAGTATCACGAATCCTTATGGACCACTTACATTCCATCGAATAGTAAGTATAGTACTATCACTCCAACAGGTGGGTGCTGCCTGCGATTTGTATTGATTCCGCTAGGCGGCGATAGCCGTAAGGACGCCGACGGTTTTCATGTATAAAGAAGCATCATAGTAGACCTTTCAGGTTGCTGTCTTTCCTGCATTTATAGTTCTACGTCAATATAGTATGATGCAAGCCCTTATTGTGCACAAGTGATCTTCAAACACGTTTTGAAACTACGTCAATTTCTGTGAGTCAGGTCAGTTCTTTCGTCTATTAAAGTCACAAACTTCACAGTAGACCTCACCAATTGACCACTTTCTTTCATTCATATATTTGCGTCAATTGTATGATGCAAGCGCTTACTGTGCACAAGTGTCCTTCAAATACGTTTTGAAACTACGTCAATTTGTCAATGTCCACGTCAGAATATCGGTATTGCCTTTTCCTGTTCAATTCCAACTTTTCACAATGCCATATACACGTCATCAAACCCATCAACGGCTGTAAGAAAGTACTCTTGGAGCCTTAGTGCAATGTTAAAACCACTTTCCTCTTCCTTTCCAACTTTACAAAATGCCGTCACTTACACGTCACACATCAACAGTTGTTGCCAAGTACTCTCGGAGCCTCAAGTTCAAGAAGGAAGTCTTTTCCGTCAATATCAACGTCACAGAATCCTTATGAGAACAATCACAATATTGTTTCCAACGTTACACAACAGCAGCTACTTATGAACTGTATCGATCAAAATCTATACGGAAACGCTCTTTTGTGACGATTGTCTTTCTTTCAGTGTCGACGTCACACGGCCCTCGCTTGGCTAAAATGTTGTTCCTCTTACTTGAAAAGCTCACACAATGACCGTATACAAAACGATCAACAGCTGCACACAGAAGTGCTCTTAAGTCCTTTTTGTTACGTTCAAGACCCCAAGCTTAAAGTAAAAGTTTGCACTAATACTGTCAACGTAACAAGCCCCTCAGCTAAACCTCACACAATGACAATGGCAATCACAATGAACTTTGTTGCATATTCACGTCCTAAAATGGGCCAAATGCACTAAGATAGATAACTTGGGTACAAGTATAGAAGAAATAAAGGTTACATTTCTGTGCTACGTCTCTATCTACAGGATCTCTTCTCTCTTAATGACATACATTGTATATGTACACATCAAACCTATTAACAGCTTC